CTGCCCCGCCCCTGCCTCACCCCTGCCCTGCTCCCATCCCTACCCTGCCCTGCCAGATACATCTCCACTCTAGCTTCAGTTGTAGTGACATGAGGCAATACCTCCCGGAAGTGGTCACTGATGAGGAGTTCCAGAAGCTCCTCCTCAAACTTCTCAAGGGAGGGATACAGGGTGAAGAATAAATCATCCAAGTACCATGTGATAGGCTTCTGACAGCGAGGCTTTTGGAGGGTGTCACCTGAAACAGTAAGAGGGTGCATATAAGATTATCCTTGGAGAGTGATCATAACCACTCAAAGCAAAGAAGAGGAAAAAAACTCACCGACTGGGGCTGGAACTGGCAGGACTCTCATCTGCACTGCACAGTCTGCCACAGTCTCCAGACTCAGTGCGGAAGGCGAGTAAGGGCAATTCAGGAATTCTGTGCTCCTGCCTCAAACCTAAGGGCCCCCTGAGCCTTGTGGGACCGCAGTCCCCCCACAGCCATGCTCTGCTGTGGAGGGGTGCAGGAAAAATGAAAGCCTTGAGCAGTGCCAGCTGCCATTTTCCAGGCACTCAACCCTTGCAGGGCCGAGCAGCTGCTTTCAGCCAGCTTGGAAGGGATGGGAGGGGGCCCAAGGGCAAACTCCTCTGGGGCTGCAGACAGTTCCTGGCTGAGAGGTTGCCTGAGAACACCTGAGGCTGGCTGCACCTTGATATGCAGATTACAGACTGCCCGAGGCCAAGATGGGCACCAGTGGGATGCAAGCTCTCCCACCCCTTGTGAACTCTCCTGTGCCCACTCTGCACAACAGCGCTGCAACACCCCCCCCACCCCCGTCCTGCGGGAGGCTTCTTCCTAATCTCCTCGGAGGCAGGAGTGCACACTTGTGGGATGCTTTAACTTCTTTCCCCTGTACTCCCTCGAAGGCTCACAACACACAGAAAACTGGGAAATCTCCAGAGTCCCACCCTCAGCCCAAGTGTGCTGGGCACTTCCTTGGAGCAACACTCCCCAAGAAGCCCCACAGCCACCATCACAGCCAGCTTTCTCCCACAAGCGCCACCTCCTGGCCAGAGGTCGACAGTACAGTCCGCCACACCGATAGAGCACCTCAGCTTTGGGGAAGCCCTGACCCCATACGCCAGTTAACCAGACTTTCTTTCTTTTTTTTTTTTTTTTTTTTTAGTCGGAGTTTCACTCCGTCGCCCAGACTGGAGTGCAGTGGCCGCTCCCGGCCACCGCAGCCTCGACCCGCCGGGCTCCGGCGATCCTTCCGCCTCACCCTTCCGAGTAGCCGGAATTACAGGCGCGCGCTACCACGTCCAGCTGATTTTTGATTTATTGTGGAGATGAGGTCTTGCCAAGTTGCCCAGGCGGGTCTCAAACCCGCGGGCTCAGGCAGTCCACTCACCTCAGCCTCCCAAGGCGCGGGATTATAGGCTGGGCCACCGAGCCCGGCAACAACACTTTCTAAGTCACCCCAGCCACTCAGGATGCTGTGAGCCAGTGCAGGTAGGCAGCACAGGACCGCACAGCTAGCAACTGAGAAACTCACCACACCAAGGCTATATATAAACCTACATCAGTCCCCTGCCAACCTCAAATAAGAAGAAATCGTCTGCCCAAATGAAAAAGAACCAGAAATATAATTGACAATATGAAAAAACAAAACAAAACCAGAGTTCTCCAACATCCCCAAAAGACCACACCAACTCTTCAGCAATGAACCCTAACCAAAATGAAATTTTTGAAATTCCAGACATAGAATTCAAAAGGTAAATTACAAAATTGATCAATGAACTCCAGGAGAAAATTGAAAACCAACATTCTGGAAATGAAAGAATAGGGATGTACAAAACACAGTAGAAAGTTTTAACAGTACATTAGAAAAAGCAGAAGAAAGTATCTCAGAACTTGAAGACAAAGTTTTTGAATGAACCCAATCAGACAGCAATAAAAAAAAAGAGTCAAGAGAGTGAAATAAAGTTTCCAAGAAATATGAGATTCTGTAAAACATCCAAACCTCGGAACCCTAAGTGTTCCTGAGGAAAAGGAAAGCAACAGGCTTGGAAAACCTATTTGACGGAATGATGGAGGAAACCTTTCCGGGACTTGTCAGGCTTAAAAATCCAGACACAAGAAGCCCAAAGAACCCTCAGAAGATTCAGTGCACAAGGTCATCCCCAAGGCGCATAATCATCAGGTTACCCAAAGCTAATGTGAAGGAAAGAATTTTAAGAAAAGTGAGACAAAAGTATCCAATAACTCACAAAGGTAAACCTATCAGACTAACAGCAGACTTCTCAGAAGAAACCTACAAACGAGAAGGGACTGGGGCCCTATCTTCAATCTCCTTAAACAGAATAACTGTCAGCCAAGAATTCTGTATCATGTAAAACTAAGTTTCATAAATGAAGGAGAAATGGAGTCCTTTGGAGACAAGCAAATGCTGACGAAATTTGCCAAGACTGGACCAGCTCTACAAAAAATACTCAAAGGAGTCCTGAATATTGAAACAAAAGATTGAAATACACCAGTAGAAAAATGCTGGAAATCATAAAGTTCACAGGCTTTATGGAACACTAACACAAAAGAGAAAATAAATAAAATAACCACATAACAACCAGTATGATGAATAGAATAGTACCTTACATATCGTTATTGACTCTAAATATAAATGGTCTCAATGTCCCACTCAAAAGATATAGACTGGCAGAATGGATGAAAAAAATACAAGCCGCCGGGCTCAGTGGCTCATCCTGTAATTCCAGCACTTTGTGAGGCCAAGGCGAGTGGACTGCCTGAGCCCGCAGGTTCGAGACCAGCCTGGGCAACTTGGCGAGACCGCGTCTCTCCAATATATCAAAAATTAGCCAGGCACAGTAGCACACACCTGTAGTTCCGGCTACTTGGAAGGCTGAGGCAGAAGGATCACCGGAGCCAAGCAGGCCGACGCTGGGGTGGCTGTGAGCATGCTACTGCACTCCAGTCTAGGCAACAGAGTGAGATCCCAACTCAAAAAAATAAAAAACAAAAGCCAAATGTCTACTGCTTTCAAAAGACCCACTTAACTCACAAAGACTCCTATAGACTCAAGATAAAGGGGTGGGGGAAAATATTCCATGCAAATGGAAACCTAAAACAAGCAAAACAAGCCATTCTCATATCAAATAAAACAGACTGTAAATTAACAACAGTAAAAAAAGACACAGATGGCTATTATATAATGATAAAGGGAACAATCCAATGAGAAGACACAGAAATTTTAAATACATATGTACCCAACACCAGAGCCCCTAGCTCTATAAAACAAATTCTATAGACCTAAAAAAAAGAGATAGCAATACAATAATAGTGGGAGACTTCAACACTCCACTGACAGCAACAGGCAGATCATCAAGGCAGAAAGTCAATAAAGAAATATTGAAATTAAACAGGACTCTAGAGGAAATGGAACAGACACCTACAGAACATTCCATCCTCAAGCTACAGAATATACATTTTTCTCATCAGCACATGGAACATTCTCCAAGACAGATCATATGATAGGCCACAAATCAAGTCTCAATAAATTTTTAAAAATCAGTATCATATAAAGCACCTTCTCAGACCAAAGTAGAATAAAGCTAGAAATTATCTCCAAGAAGAACTCATGAAAACAAACAAAAACACAGCAGCTAAACAGTTTGCTAATGAACAATCCTTGGGTCAACAATGAAATCAAGACGGAAGTTAACAAATTCCTTTAAACAAATGACAACAATGAAACAAGTTACCAAAACCTCTGGAATATAGCCAAAGCTGGGCTCACAGGAAAATTTATAGTGCTTAAGGTCTACATTAATAAAACTGAAAGATCACATATCCACAACCTAACATCACACCTCAAGGAACTAGAAAAACACAAACAAACCAAACCCAAAGCTAGCAGAAGAAAAAAAATAACAAAGATCAGAGCAGGACTACATGAAATTGAAATTTAAAAAAAATACAAAGGATCAATGAAACAAAAAGTTGGTTCTTTGAAAAGATAAACAGGCTGGGCGCGGTGGTTCAAGCCTGTAATCCCAGCACTTCGGGAGGCCGAGGTGAGGGGATGGCCTGAGCCCACTGGCTCGAGAACCGCAACTTGGTGAGACGGCATTTCTACAATAAATCAAAAAATTAGCTGGGTGTGGTAGGGCGCACCTGTAGTTCCGGCTACTTGGAAGGCCGAGGCACAAGGATCATCTGAGTCCAGTAAGTCGACACTAGAGTGGCTATGAGCATGCCCCCGCACTCAAGCCTGGGCAACAGAGTGAGATTCCAACTCAAAGAATTTTTTAAAAAGGGAAAAAGCAATTTCTGGACCCTTGACACACCCCACCAAGGACCACTCCTTTCCCCCACCTCCTTACACTCTTCTTGGGAGAGTGGCTCTTGTGCACTCTTCCCAATCTCTCTCCTTGTATTTTCTGTTGAATCCTCCTCCCAATCCATGAGACTCCAACTCAAAAAAAAAAGTTAAGAAAAGATAAACAAAATTGATAAACTAGCTACATTAATTAAGAAACAAAGAAAACTCAAATTAGCTCAATCAGAAAGGAAAAAGGAGACATTACAACTGATATTATGGAAATTCAAAAGCTCATCCAAGACTATTATAAACATCTCTATGCAAACAAACTAGACAATCTAGAGGAAATGGGTAAATTCTTGGAAACATACAATCCCCCAACCTTGAATCAGGAAGAACTAGAAATCCTAAACAGACCAATAACCAGTAGTGAGATTGAAACAATAAATAGAAGTGTCCTAACAAAAAAAAAGTTCAGGATCTGACAGACTCACAGATGAATTCTACCAGACCTGCAAAGAAGAAATGGTACCAATACTGAAGCTATTCTACAAGACTGAAAAGGAGGGAATCTTAACTCATTCTACAAGGTCAGTATCACTCCAATACCAAAGCCAGGAAAAAACACAGCAAAAAAAGAAACTGCAGACCAATATCCCTTATGAACATAGACACAAAATCCTCAACAAAATATTAGCAAGCTGAATTCAACAGCACATTAAACACACACACACACACACACACACATACACACAGCCAAGTGCGTTTTATCCCAGGGATGCAAGGGTGGTTCAACATACTCAAGTCAATAAAGGTGATACACTACAAAAACAGATTTAAAAACAAAAATCATATGATCAGTTCAATAGATACAGAAAAAGCATTTGAAAAAATCCAGCATTCCTGAAAAATGAAACGC